CAACGGTGAGACCCCTCCTCAGTTCCGACCTTGGCCCCGCCCAGGGCTGGACCCATCTCTTCCTGCCCCAACCTCCTCCTTCCAAGTCCCCAGCCCCCTCCCTTTCTGAAGATTCCCTTTCCTCCCCGTCAGCAGGATCCTGACCCAAGAGCAAGGTCCCCAAAGCCCAGATCAAGCAGCCACCCGCTTTGGTCCTCCCCTGTCCCCGAGGTGACTAGACAGAAGGGGGCAGAATCCGAAGGAACCTGGGATTTGAAGGGGGGAGGACTTGGGGGTCGACTGGGCCAGGAACTCTGCCTCTGAATTCTCTGGGACCCTCCCGTTTCCATGGCAGAGGGACAGACAGATTAGAGGAGGGTGGGGGTGGGATTTGGTGTTGAGTTGAGGGCAGGGTATGGGATCAGGTAGGACAGCCAGAGGACTTTGCCTTCGCTATATCCCCCAGATATAGTGATACAGGCCCTCAGGCCCTGCCCCTCCCACCCATTAGGACTCATCCCTCCTCCCTAGACAAGTGGATATGACACCCATAGGGCCATTGCGGGTGTCAGGCCCAGCGGAGGAAGCTGGGGGCAGAGGGGGAGACGGGAGGAGAAGTGGGAAGTGGGGCCTGGTCTTTGGGCAAAAGGGCGGAGGGCAGGGGAATGGCGGTGGGGGGGTAAGAGGGGCAGAGGGCTGAGTTGAGGGGGTGGGATGGTCAGGCCAAGGCCTCTGAATGCAGCTGGCCTCTCTGGGTGGGGACAGAAGGGTCAAGGTGAAAGTGTCTCCATTCCACTCAGGGGGGCCCTGAGAAGGGACCAGTATTCAGTTTGGAGGCTCACTCCCCTGGGCACACACCCTGGTGCCAGGGACCACTGGACTTGGCAGAGGACCCAGAATGCTCATTTTGTCCGCTTCTGTCCCTCTAAGAGGCAGGATGATTGGATGCCCAAGCCTGGGTTGAATACAGGTTCTTCCACTGAAAGGCTGTGTGTCCATGCACAAGTAACTTCACGTCTCTGGGCTTCAGTCTCCTTCCTCCTCCTTTCCTCCTAAAATGGATTATAATACTACAACTATTAGAATTGTCAAAAGCATTAGGTACCATAAAAACAGTTCATTCTATTCTGGATTTATTGAGCACATACCATGAACCAGGAAGCATGCTAAGTGTTTTGCGTGAGCAGTGCCTGGCACATGTAAGCTCACAGTAACGGCTACCATTTTTTTTTTTTTGGTTAATATTATTAATGGTACGTAGGAAGAGGCTCGGCATAACGAGGTGGTTGGGTCCTCTTGCCCCCACTTACTGGCCCTGTGACCTTTGGTATGTCTCTGCACCTTAGTTTCCTCGGTTGCAAAACGTGATGCCAACAGGACCCCAAGATTCCCCCCGTTGGGAGTTCCAAGTCCTGAGAGTTCTCCCTTCTGACCTCAGAGGCCCCCACCTTCCTCTGCAGGTCCAAGTACCCGACCTGGGAGGCGCTGGGGGCGGGGGGCAGGGCGGGCAAAGCTCGGCAGGCGATTGGGCCGCGGGGTGGCGGGGAGGGTCAGGGAGGGAAGGGAGGGCCCCGCGGCTGCACTGCAGAGCGCAGCAGGCAGGCTGGGCGGCCTGTGGACGCGGGATGGCAGGTGCGACCTTCATGCCTCCTCCCTGTGTACGCTACCACCTCTACTTCCACCGGGCTGGGAGCCAGGGTCTCCTTGGTTGTGGCCAGCAATGAGTCTGGGTATGAGTGTTCTTGGGGGAAGAGAGGAGGGGGGGTCCACTTGGTCCTCTGCCCCTCCCACTTCGGGAAAATGGGCGAGGTTGGGGGACCATGGGGGAGTCATTTTGGCTGCACCCATGAGCTGGAGAGAAGGGACAGAGCCAACTATGAGGCGTGGGGGTGCCGAAGCGAAATAAAGAAGCAGAGCAGAAGAGAGGAACCCCTGCTGGGGAAGAGTTTGGGTGTCATCCCCGCCCGCATCTCCCTTCCTTGGTCTCCTGGGTCTGCGATATGCTGCCTGCAACCCCCAAGTCTGCCGCCAGGGGCCGCAGAAGCTCTGTCCTTGCAACCGACTCTAGGGTAGAACTCGGGGTGAGCAGAGCTGGGGAAGAGGAGGAACTGGGCATGACCCTTTGGCTTGGAAAGTCTAGGAACAGCGAAGGAACGTTAGTATCCATGATAGAATATTCGCCGGGAAATGTTGGGGTCCATTCTAGAATGTTAGTGTCATTAGGAGTAGGTTGATGTCATCTCTAAAATGTTGCTGTCTCACATAGATGTTTAGCATCTTAGTCATAGAGTCTTAAAACCAGAGTGAGAGGCTTCTGGAGTCACAGCATTTTAGAAGGTGAGAGGAAGGGACTTCCCCAAGGTCATACGGCCAGGGCGCTGCGGCAGAGGACTGTGGGGAAGGGCTGGAGAGTGGTGGGGATTTCCTTCCCCATTCGGAGCCATCTTCGGTGGCCCATCTCCAAGCGTCCCAGCCCCAGGTAGCTGGAAAGGAAGGGGGTGTGGCTGGCCTCGCTTAGGCCCGGGACCGCCGGGGGATGCCTCGGGGCGCTGGAGCTCCCGGGTGGCCCCTGCAGCCAGCGCTCCCCCACCTTCCAGATGACAATTTGTCAGGGACGAGCGGCATGGAGGTGGACGACCGCGTGTCGGCGCTGGAGCAGCGGCTGCAGCTGCAGGAAGACGAGCTGGCGGTCCTAAAGGCGGCGCTGGCAGATGCACTGCGTCGTCTGCGCGCGTGCGAAGAACAGGGCGCAGCGCTGCGCGCGCGGGGCACCCCCAAGGGCCGGGCTCCTCCACGCTTAGGCACCACCGCCTCAGGTATCCTCGCTACATTGGAGGGGTGAGATGGGGAGGGCCCAGGGCTCGGACCTCGTACTCACCCTCTTCTGTCCTCTAACCTCATCTCTCCAGTGTGTCAGCTCTTGAAAGGCCTTCCCACCAGGACGCCCCTCAATGGCTCGGGACCCCCGCGGCGTGTGGGCGGCTATGCCACGTCCCCATCCTCCCCCAAGAAGGAGGCGACCTCCGGGCGTAGGTAAGGCACGAAGCCGTGATCCCCGGCCTCTTCCAGGACCTTGCGGGAGACAGAAGCTGTTTGTATGGAGAAAGGACTCACGTGCTCGAGCTCCGTCAACGAGGGTGCAGGGAGGATCTTGCTCGCCCACGGCACTTCTCCTGCTGGCCTCCAAGCCTCTGCCCCCAGCCGTGCTCTCTTTTTGCAGTGGCCGCCGCTACTTGTCACCAGAGCGCCTTGCTTCCGTGCGCCGCGAGGACCCCCGCAGCCGCACCACATCCTCCAGCAGCAATTGCAGCGCCAAAAAGGAAGGGTGAGGCGGGGGGTCGTGTCACAGAGGGTGGGGCCAGGACCCCAGATAGGCAGGGGAACGGATGGGGAGCTTGGACTCATGCCCCAGGCCACGTGGTCATAACCTAGAATAGGGTCAGCTAGTTCGGAACGCGGGGACAGTGCCTGAAGCTTGGAGGGACCAGTATTGAGGTGGCATCAAGGCCTGGAGGGGCGGAGCCAATATTGAGGGGCGTGGCCAGAGTTTAAGGAGCGGGACTAAAACACAGAAGGCGCACGGTGGTGGTTACAGGGTGAGCCAGGGAGGAAGTCGGGGAGGAGCCAGGCTATGGGCGCGGCTATTAAGGTAAAAGAGAGTCCCCATTGAATCTCGGGGATGCAGTGAGGACAGAAGCCTCAGAGTTTGCAGGAAATCTGCGGCAGGGGTGTGGCCAGAGTGTTAGCCTGGGCGGAATTAGAACCCGAAGCTGAGGGGGGTCCACGGAGGCTGAGATCAGGTGGGACAGTGTCGGATTCCAGAAGCGCTGATGGGCGGAGTCAGGGGGCCCTGCGGGGGAGATGGGTGTGGCTTGGAGGGGGCGGGGCCACTGGTGGCCGTGGTCAAATCTCAAGAGGCGGAGCCAACTTGGAGGCCTTGAAGAGACTCAACTCAGGGACTGGGTCACGTGAAAGTGGACGTGGTCAGAACGCGGAGCTGGAGGAGGAGAGCCCAGAGGAGGGGGTGGCAATCAATTACTAAGAGACTGACTGAGTCAACTCAGGGACAGAGTTAGGAGGAGGTGGGTGTGATCAGAATGCTAGGCGTGGCAAAGCCCCCAGAGGCGGGGCGGTGCTGGAGAGCTGCTGGGGTCGCGGTGCAGTGGCTTGGAGGCCAGGCTAAGGTCAGACCACGGTCAAAGCCACACATTTCTGGCCGGGACCGTGGCTCACGCCTGTAATCCTACTACTCTGGGAGGCTGAAGCGAGAGGATCACTTGAGGTCAGGAGTTTGAGACCAGCCTGAGCAAGAGCAAGACCCCCGTTTCTACAAAAAATAGAAAAATTGGCCCGGCATGGTGGTGCCCACCTATAGTCCCAGCTACTAGGGAGGCTGAGGCAGGAGCATCGCTTGAGCCCAGGAGTTTGAGGTTGCTGTGAGTTCTGATGACGCCGCTGCACTCTAGCCAGGGCGACAGAGTGACCCTGTCTCAAAAACAACAACAACAACAAAAAAGCCACACATTTCAACTCAGTTTGAGGCTGCAGTGAGCTATGATGACGCCACTGCACCCTAGCCAGGGCGACAGAGTGAGACCCTGTCTTAAAAAAAAAAAAAAGCCACAGATTTCAGCTCTACTCCAGTAATAGTGTCTTGTGTCAGGCATGACTCCAGGCACTTCACATGAATGAGCCAATTTCTTCCCTGGCAACCACCCGGGAAGCGTGGGTACCCTTATTACGCCCATTTTTTAAATAAGAAAACTGAGGCAGAAGTTGGGCAACTCATCTACCCCGCGGGGAGGTGGGAGAACTGGGGTTTGAACTCAGGCGGCCGCGCTCCCGAGTGAGTCCGTGTTTTCAACCACTCTCCCCCACCCACCCCCAAAAGAGCCTGGTATCAGGACGCCACGGCCCGGGATGTGGGACTCGGTGGGACCCGCCGGCTCCAGGGGTCGGCGCGGAGGGCGGGGCAGGGCGCGCCGGCGCGGGCACCTCCCAGGGCCGGAAGCTGCAGAGCTGGCCCCGGCTCCACCCCCGGCCCCGGAGCTCCGCCAGCCGCCGCCATGAGTAGCTTTGGAGCTGGGTGAGACCCTTTCGCAGACCCCCTCCTCCCCGCGCTCTCGGGGCCTGGATCCCAGGCCTCCCCCATCCCCTGGGGCCCAGGCCGGCCAGCCTCACCCCTTTGGGCCGGTGAAAAGGAATGTGGAGACACGCCCCTTCCCTGAAACTTTCACCGCTCCTCCCGCTGCTTCAAGTTTGGGGCGCTGGGCGACTGCGGGTGGGGAGCGTTGGGGAGCACCTTGCTGATTAGGAGGGAGGGGTCCCTGGTGACTCCCCTCTTCCAGGATCGCGTCCCTGCCACTTCGTGCTGTGTGATCTTTGGCGATCACTGCCTCTCTGGGCCTGTGTCTTAGGCTCTGCAAGATCAACCGAGCAAAGCACACGGCCTGCAGAGAGGCAGCGCTCCGCTCCTTACTCAGCCCGGAGCTTCATCGGAGACCTCGGGGAGGGCTGGGGTGGGGCGTGGTTTCTCCCCTTTTCTGACCCGCCTACTAAGACTTTTTTTTTTCTGTATCCTTTCCTGACAGCAAAACCAAAGAAGTTATCTTCAGCATAGGTGAGTGGGGAAGGGGCAAGGGCTTGGTGGAGGCTTTCTGGGGTGACAGGCCAGAGCTGGAGGTCATGAGACCTGGTAGTGGGCCTCTCTGGCCTCAGTTTCCCCACCTGTTTGTTTATTTATTTATTAAATGAAGCCTGAAGAGTAGTGGGAATAGGGCTGGGGGCTGGTGTCTGTGTCTGACCTCTGGGGGTGTCCTGGCAGAGGAGGGCTCCGTGAAAATGTTCCTGAGGGGCCGCCCTGTGCCCATGCTGATCCCAGACGAGCTGGAACCCACCTACAGCTTGGACACACGCTCAGAGCTGCCTTCCTGCCGGCTCAAGCTGGACTGGGTGTATCCTTTTGCCAGAATCTCGCCCTCTGCACTCCCGCCCCCTCCAGAGGAGCTGAGCCCTTCTGGTGCAGGACTGCAGCAGGAGGGAAGGGACTTTGCCACGAGGAAAGCGGGACTTCCCAGGCCTCTCCAGCTGAGGAGTCAGGAAGCCGGTGGCTCAGCGGGTTAGCTGAAATGACCTTTTATTCATTAATGCGAATGTTTACCGAGTGCCTTCCACATGGCAGATTCTCCTCTACACGGGAGCTGTGTTCACAGAGGTCACCTTCTAAAGGGGTGACAACACAGGAGCTGGGGATTAAATAAACAAGATCATTTCAGTTAGGAATAAATGCGGGAAATACTGGAACCTAAGGTCAGGGGAGGGGAGCAACTAGGTTTCTCCGAGGAGGGGACGTTTTTGCTAAGAACTGCAGTCAGGAGCCAGGGTAGAAAGAACCAGAAAGAGACCATTCCAGACAGAGGTCACAGCAGGTACAAGTACGATGTGGCCCAAGTGAGTTTGGGTATTTGAGTAACAGAAGGAGTTGGGAATGGTTAGCAGCCTTGGATTTGGAGCCTGACGGAAATGAGTACAAACCTCAGGGCAGCTTCTGGCTGGCTGTGTGACCTTCAGTAAGTCACCTTGACTCTGTGCCTCAGTTGCTTTCTCTGCAAAAAAAAATGGATCTCATGATCTCAGATTCATAGGACTGAAATAACGTGTAAAGGTGCTGAGCTCGTAGTATGTGCCCCATATACAGAGGTTGATAAAATAATAACTACTCTTTATTGAGCACTTATTATGTGACAGGCACTGTTCTAAGTTCTTCCGTGTACAAATATGTTGAATAATAGGATCCCTCTCTTCTGCAGCGCTGAGAATGTATTTTTACAACCAGCAGCCTCCGAGGGCCTCTGAGGCCTGCAGGTTTGGAATTCTTACCCACTTTCCAGATGAGGAAACTGAGCCCAGAAGAGGGGACTGAGCCCTGTCCTAGGGAGTCAGAGCAGATCTGAAACAAGAACCGTGACTCTGGGACTCAAGCTTTTTCCAGAAAGCCCACTGGGATTGGAGTCCACGCCCCAGGAATCCAGTCCCTGTCTGCTTCTCTCAGGGCCTCGGCTTCCTCTCTGGAGGAGGCAGGGAGGTTGGTGAAATGGCTTGGCTTTCTGAGAGCCCAGAACCTTCTTGAGGCAGCTGGAAATATTCACAGGGCTCTGTCCCAACCGTCCTGCCAGGCAGCGCATGATAGTCACCTGCAGAGAGGAGGCTGTGACTGCAAAAGTTAGTGTGGCCCTCAGATTGTTCATCTCTGCGATGACCACAGGGCAAAGAAGTTTCTATGGGGTCAGGGTATACATGTTGACATTCATTCAAATATTTTCCAAACATCTGAGACAGAGGGCTAGGGACCCGGCAGTGACCACGACAGCGTTCACCTGCCCTCCTGGGGCTTATAATCGAGCAGGGGATCAGACTCAGTGACAGTGACAACTTGTGGGAGGCCAGGATGGGGGAACCCACATGGGGGCAGCTGAGCCAGCCTGGGATCAGGAAGGGCTTCCTGGAGGAGGAGATAGAGAAATGGAAAGAACAGTCTCAGCCACCGTGGAACTTGCAAGTCTCTTTGGGGAATATGGGCAGATAATTAACGCATCAGTCAGCTAATTACTAAGTGGGTAAGTCCAGTGGAGGAAATGAGTCCGAGAGCTGCTCTGAGGAGGCGAGAGCCGAGAAGGGTGTTGGGGGAGTGTACCAGGCAAAGGGAAAGGTTAATGCCAACGCCTGGGGTGGTGGCAGTTTAAGGAACTCCAAGATCAGAGAGCAGGGGAGCACAGGGCCCCACTAAGGCCAGGGAGGAGCCAGTCAGGCCAGTTGAGAGGGGCCTGGGCTTTCTCCTGGGAGCACTGGGGGCCTCGAAAGTTCTGAACAGGGAAGGGACAGCCATTCCTTCAACAGATATTGAACTCCTAATGTCTATTGTGTGCCAGGCCCTGATCTGGGCACAGGGGCTACAGCAGTGAACAAAACAGACAAAGATCCCAGCCCTCCTGGAGTGGTCACTCTAGTCACAGAGACAGACAACACGTTCAGTAGATAATGTGGGTGCTGATGAGCGCATTGGAGAAATACAGTAGGGAAGAAGGGGATGGGTTTGTAGTTTTAAACAGAATGGGCAAGGAAGGCCTCTCCGAGGACCTGATAGTTGGGCAGAGAGACCTGAAGGAGACAGAGAGAGCATAGAGAGATGAAGGGGAAGAGTATTCAGGTGGAGGGAACAGCAAGTGCAAAGGCCCTGAGGTGACAACAGGAAGGAGGTGAATAATTCAGGAGCTCAGCCGGGGGCCCAGACCAGCCAGCCCTGGGCTTTTGTGAGGACTTTGTCTTTGATCTGAGTGAGGTGGCAGCCAGGGGAAGGAAATGAGCTGACTTCAATGTTAACGGGTTGGAACAGGATCCCTCTGGCCTCCCTGGGGGAAATAGGGGGTGTTTTAATTTCCTGTAGCTGCTGTAACAATGACCACAAACTTGGTGGCTTAAAACAGCAGAAAGTTTTTCTTTGACAGTTCCAGAGGTCAGAAGTCCACAATCAGGGTGGCAGCAGTGCCACGTTCTCTCCAGAGGCTCTAGGGGAGAGTTTGTTCCTTGCCTGTGTCCTAATTTTTGGTGGCTGCCAGCAATCCTTCGAGCCCCTTGTCTTGTAGGCATATCACTCCAATCTTGTCTTCACGTGGCCTCTGTCCCCCAATCCCCACCCCGTGCCTGGATTTAGGGCCCATTCCAAGATGATCTCATCTTAAGGTCCATATTGCATCTGCGAAGACCCATTTTCCATATAAGGTTACATTCACGGGTGCTGGGGGATAGGACATGGACATTTGTTGGGAGGGTGACCATCATTCCAGCCACTACAGGGGGAAGAGTAGAAACAGGAGAACCTCATTCCGATGCGACACAGAACAGGCTCCTTAACCGGCCCCTGGGCGTCTCCAGCTATGGCTACCGCGGCCGAGACTGTCGGGCCAACCTTTACCTGCTGCCCACGGGGGAGATTGTGTATTTTGTGGCTTCGGTGGCTGTGCTGTACAGCGTGGAAGAGCAGAGGCAACGACACTACCTAGGACACAACGATGACATCAAATGGTGAGGGATGAGAGGGAGGGGACAGGACAGAGCTGTCGGTCAATGTCAGCCCCCACCCCTGCTAGGGCTGATTCCACATCATCACTGCCACGGTAGAGTGTCAGGTGGGGCCCAGCCTTTGCTCCATCTCCAAAGCCACCAGCTGTCCCCAGGCTGAATTCAGTGGGAAAATGTGGGTTGGTTATCCATATTGCAAATGTTGGTGAATTCGCTCAATGCCTGGATCTTTTCCTTCTTTTGAAAACTCTGAACCGGCACTCCAGACAGTCCGGTGGCGGATGGGAGTTGAGTGGGGGCGGCCCCTGAAAAATCGGTGTGTTCCCTGAGCCACTGTTCGGGCTACAGGCCAGAGTCCTGCTGGCCTTTGAGTTAGAGAGCCCAGGCCCGAGTCTAGCTTCCGAGCCAGCCTACCCAGAGCGTGTCCACTTAGCGCCACTGAAGGACTAAATAAATGTTTATTGACTAAATAACTCGATCAACCAATTTGTGGAATGAGTAACCAGGCACTGTGTCAGTGAGCCGCCTAGAGCCCCTTCCGTCCCCCTGAGCCCTGTCCCTCTGTCTCCTCTCTCTCAGCCTGGCCGTCCACCCGGATATGGTCACCATCGCCACAGGACAGGTGGCGGGCACCACTAAGGAGGGGAAGGTAATGGGGGCGAGGGGGCACGCAGAAAAGAGGACAGGACCAGAGTTGGGGGGAGCGAGCAGCTGGGCCCGCCAGGTAACAAGCCCTCTCTTTCCTGCAGCCGCTGCCACCCCATGTGCGCATCTGGGACTCAGTTTCCCTCTCCACGTTACACGTGCTGGGCCTGGGGGTGTTCGACAGAGCCGTGTGCTGTGTGGGCTTCTCCAAATCGGTAAGTCCTTGGCGCACCGCCGGCCGCCTCACCTGCAAATGCAGGGCAAGTGCGCTCACGTCTTCACCCGCCCCTTCGGGCCGGAGGCCACGCCCTTATTGTGACGTCACAGAGGCGGGCCACGCCTCCGGCAGAATTATGACCTCCCAGACCTGCTGTTTGCCCTAGTGAGGGGCACCGTATGTCCTGATTCGTTCCCTTGCAGATCAGTTAATGGTTGTTGCGCTATTTTTAGCACCCCCTGT